AGCTTCCTGGTTTCAGGTCGTCACTCCTGAGCTTCCTACTTCCAGGTCGTCACTACTGAGCTTCCTGGTTTCAGGTCGTCACTCCTGAGCTTCCTGCTTCCAAGTCGTCACACCTGAGCTTCCTGGTTTTCCAGGTCGTCACTACTGAGCTTCCTGGTTTCAGGTCGTCACTCCTGAGCTTCCTACTTCCAGGTCGTCACTACTGAGCTTCCTAGTTTCAGGTCGTCACTCCTGAGTTTCCTGCTTCCAAGTCATCACACCTGAGCTTCCTGGTTTTCCAGGTCGTCACTCATCAGTTTCTTGGTTCCAGGTCGTCACTCATCAGTTTCCTGGTTCCAGGTCGTCACTCCTGAGCTTCCTGCTTCTAGGTCGTCACTACTGAGCTTCCTGGTTTCAGGTCGTCACTCCTGAGTTTCCTGCTTCCAGGTCGTCACACCTGAGCTTCCTGGTTCCAGGTCGTCACACTTGAGCTTCTTGGTTTTCCAAGTCGTCACTCATCAGTTTCCTGGTTTCAGGTCGTCACTACCAAGCTTCCTGGTTTCAGGTCGTCACTAATGAGCTTCTTGCTTCTAGGTCGTCACTACCGAGCTTCCTGGTTTAGTGACCCCGAGTCACATATTTTACTTCGGCTCCGGCCATAGTGACCTAGCGTCACACTTTTTACTTCGGCTCAGGCCACAATGACCCAGTGTCACATGCTTCACTTCGGCTCCGGCCATAGTGACCCCGAGTCACCTATTTCACCTCAGCTATGGCCCAAAACACATGCACCGAGCTCGCTTGGTTTTAACACCAGCTCCCCTACGCCTGCTCGATAGGAAGTCGGCATACACATGCACAACAGACTTGGTCGCAATGGCTTCAAGCCGCCTAGATCGGTCGTGCGTGAGGGCGGACATGAACATAAAACATCACTCCTCATCCTCAGGGTCAAACACCGTGCTAACAAGACTCCCAACCCAGTTCGTCAACCGAACACCGAGGGGGGAGTAATGTTGGGATTAGGTCCAACGCCCTCTTAGGGCCACATGCAGTAGGCCCAACTACATGCCCACAGGCCCAAGAGGAGGAGATATACCCACATGGGCAGCACCACGTGGGCCAATGAAAGGCTTACATGTGTAGATACATGTCAGCACTTGGGGCTATAAATACCCCCCAACCACCTCCGAAGAAGGTAATTAATCTCTACGCTTCTCTCTCTGCAATTACTCCTTGAGAGCATCTCTCTCTAGAAT